TTGGACCAAATTATTTGTAAAATCTTGTAGGAGAAAGGACTTATAAATAGACGTGGTAGGTGCGTAACTGGAAAATCATCATATACCAAACTTTCCTGTACTGAATGTGGAGTACCTTAGGGATTAACCAATTGGTGGCAATATCAATTAAAAGTAATGCCTTCTTAAATTCAAGATTCACGACAAAGAGAACGTCTTCAAAAAATTCATTGATCAAGCTAATGAGTTAGCTAATACTATAAGAGTGCGAATTTTCTCGAGATTTTGAAATGCGGTGAAATATCAACAATGGATAGAATATAATAACGAGGAAGTCACGGGGTACTACCAGAGCTGGGCAAAGCCCTCAGTAAAAGGGCTTGAAGCACTAAGCCCTAAGCCCTTTTTCAATTAAAATAAAAAAAAACCTTATTCAAGTCCTCAAAGTGCTTCAAGCCCTTTCACAAGCACAAAGCAGTCAAGCCCTGCCCAGCTCTGGGTACTACTATACTTGTTAAGCCGGAGCTCGCATGGGAAAAATAGGAAAAACATGTTTTGTATTTTTTTTTAGGGGACACTGCTTCTCCTGCTTCCATGAAATCTCCAAAATCTCGAGAAAATTCGCACTCTTATAGTATTGTGAATTTCTTGAGGACGTTCTCTTTCTCGTGAATCTTGAATGTGAGAGGGCATTAATTTTAATTGATATGTACCAATTGGTTAATCCCTAAGGTACTCCACATTCAGTACAGGAAAGTTTGGTATATGATGATTTTCCAGTTATGCACCTACCACGTCTATTTATAAGTCCTTTCTCCTCTACAAGATTTTTCAAATGATTTGGTCCAATCGCACTCTGCAGAAGTTCTTGAGCAAATTTTGCATTTGCGCCTTCCATAGAGATAGGGCCAAAATACCGATTTATTATAGCTTCACAGATGTTTACGAAATCAGAAAGATGAGCAGTGTGATGTATTGATATGCTGTGATCAAAGAAATGAAATATCGATTTGTAATGACCATTGCGCACCCCGTGCGATATTGTTATTTACCATCCAGGTATGGAAAATTATGCAGCTTTTTTGCAGAAGATTGAAATTACTTCTAACTTCTATTTTTGTAGCATTATAGAGACCTATGCAGCAACCTGTGCAGAAACTTTCAAACTTATATTTTGATGTTCCATTCACATATGGAAAAAGAACGTATGCATCTTTCCATCTTTCCCTTGGATAAAAAAAAAGATGAATCTTCTTATGCCATAAAAATCACCATAATATGCATAAATTCAACAGCAGTGCAGTATTATCACGTCAAAACTGAATTCACAGACTGTTTTTTCCTTCTGCAGTAAAGATTTAATGCTCATTCGCCCCTCTGATATGGGAAATGCCACTAAAAAACTATCTTTCCGATTATATAATCCGTTTTTTTTTTTTGGGAAAAATGTTTTTTTTTTTTCTTTTGAGAAGTAAGAAATGAATGGCAACAATAAGATTTTTTCTGTTCAGATGAAACAATATACTGGTCACTTATTTTGTTTTCGGAAGTGTGGTGAACGTAAACATAGCTACTTCCAATATATCAATTTTTACGTACACCATTAACATTAATATTTGACTTTTGATCACTGGCTTATTTTTAAGGTAGGAGAAAATAAAAGTTTTTTTTTCGGAAGATTTGTTAAACGTTAAACCTTTGTGTCAATCTTTTTGAGTTTTGTAATGTTATAGCTAACTTAACTGATAAAAATAGGTGCTGAGTACGCTAAAGCATAGACTCGATGGCGCCACTTTGACACTCTATATCTCGAAAACTACTCCATGTACCTCCATTTTTTTTTTGCACGTAAACTATAAGGGCAACATGGACTACATCATATAAAAAATTCAGACATTTTGACCGAAACCGATTTTCTGTGTATTTAGTGCGTCGTACTTTCATCCATTTCAATACAAATCCACAAACACTACCTGTTTGACGCTGACACTTTTGAGCAATAATGACCATTAATCCCGCTACTCGTCATTATTACCTACAGGTGACATTAGTCGTAAATAATAGTAGATTATACCACGAGTCAATAATGATAGCTATTATTCCCGAGGAATATTTACGAACTAAGCCGCGTTAGCGGCGAGGGAGTAACATTCCGAGGGAATAATAGCCATTATTGCGAGTAGTATACTCTACTTTATTTACGACAAATTAATTTATTTGAAATTTCCCTTCCAAAAACGCTCTTTGTTCATCCATCTCAATACAAATACACAAGCACTATGCGTTTGACACTGTCACTTTTGAGTTTGTTCAGGTATATTGTTTCCATGGTAGTACTACTTATTTAATTTGAGAAATTTTGTGATTGGTGTGCAAGCGGGAATAATGACCATTAATCCCTGCGGGAATAATAAATGGCATTATACTGCCAAAATCACAAATATAATACTTACAGTATATGTCAGTCGTAAATAAAATATGTAATAAATTCCACAGGACCGCTAGTAGCTAAATAATAGTAGAACCCGGTATGACATTCATTTGGCTTTAACTTAATATTTAAAACTTCATAAAAATAGATATAGATATATATGTTACTGTAAATGCCCGAAATTCGGTAAAACCTAGGATAAGCGCGCTAAACCTAGGATTTACCAAAAGCAAGTGGTAAAAGCCCGAAAACTAGTTATTTTGCTATCATTTCGGACTCTTACCGGACACGAACAGTAAATCTTAGGATTTACCACACCGCATTGGTGAAAGTACGCATACCACTGATACGTTACAGAAATCGATATTTCTTGAGTCCTGGAGATTCCATCTCAGGAAATTAGCGGAAGAAGTGCAGTGTGAAAATTGTCGTTATGTAGTGGCTAAGGATTTAAGGAATGCAATTGCATTCAAAAATGTTCCACCAAAAGATGTTTGTGCAGATTCTCTAAAATACTCTGAAATTCTAAATGCATGGAAGTTTGCCGTGTACCAATAAATAAATATTTCTATTAGTGGACATTTCAATTCATTTATTTCATTTAATAAATAAAAGGATTTTTTCTTTTAATATTTAAGTATAATTTTGCGAAAGTCAATTGGAACAAGGTGAACATGAATCATAACTGGTGGCTGACTAAAGGCAGTGCATTAATCATGGAAATTTTCAGTTTGTATCTTGTTCCAATTGAGTTTGGAAATACTATATCTACTTTTTGCAATATTAGTACCTGAATTAATGTTTTTTTGTTTTTTTTTTTAATTTCGTGGGTTAGAGGACAGGACCAAAAAAAGAAACTATCAAGATTTCGGCAACCTTTCGCAATAGATTTTTCCTTTTTCAAGCCTTAAACTATTGCTTCTGGAGTCTGTTCAGGATGGACAAAGGCACTTCTCAACATATTATTTTCGGAATGCAATCAATTTTTACAAAATTCGTTATTTTGAATTTGGACTAGGACTAGGAGTTAGCTTTCAAATTCAAATTCAAAATAACAAATTTTGTAAAAATTGATTGCATCCCTAAAATAATATGGTGAGAGGTGCCTTTGTCCATCCTGAACGGACTCCAGAAGCGATAGTTTAAGACTTGAAAAAGGAAAACTATATTCAGAAACGTTGCCGAAAGCGTCATAGTTTCTTTTTTTGGTCCTGTCCTCTAACCCACGAAATTAAAACAACAAAAAAACATTAATTCAGGTACTAATATTGCAAAAAGTAGGTATAGTATTTCCAAACTCAATTGGAACAAGATACCAACTGAAAGCTGAAAATTTCCATGATAAATGCACTGCCTTTAGTCAGCCACCAATTATGATTCATGTTCACCTTGTTCCAATTGACTTTCAAAAAATTATACTTAAATATTAAAAGAAAAAATCCTTTTATTTATTAAATGAAATAAATGAATTGAAATGTCCACTAATAGAAATATTTATTTATTGATACACGGCAAACTTCCATGCATTTAGAATTTCAGAGTATTTTAGAGAATCTGCACAAACATCTTTTGGTGGAACATTTTTGAATGAAATTGCATTCCTTAAACCCTTGCCACTACATAACGACAATTTTCACACTGCACTTCTTCCGCTAATTTCCTGAAATGGAATCTCCAGGACTCAAGAAATATCGATTTCTGTAACGTATCAGTGGTATTCGTACTTTCACCAATGCGGTGTGGTAAATCCTAAGATTTACTGTTCGTGTCCGGTAAAAGTCCGAAATGATAGCAAAATAACTAGTTTTCGGGCTTTTACCACTTGCTTTTGGTAAATCCTAGGTTTAGCGCGCTTATCCTAGGTTTTATCGAATTTCGGGCATTTACAGTAACAGTGGTGATTTTAAAACTCTTCTCCAAGATCTGTCTGTATCTAAACACTTCAACTTCAAATTCAACTTATATATTTAGTTCTTAGGCTCAATAAAAAGTCAAGCACTTTCGATATTCTCCATAAACAATGCCTCCAAACGCACTTAATCTACCATTTATTATTTTCTTTGAAACTTTCGTTTGTATTAAATCCCCAGAAAATATTTTTATAAGATGTCCTTCTCGTCTCATGAAAAATTCCTCAATATAAACAATTTAAATTTAAAGCACGAACTGGCTTATAGATATTACATTTTAAACTGTATTAAAAAGGCTTTAATACACGACATGAAACCGCAGCGTCGTCGTAAAAGTGAACAACAAAACTTTCGAATTACTTTGCCATTAATATCCGTGTCCCGGAAAATGGCACTTGGGTGTTAGAGTAATTCGAAATTTTAAATGTTTTCGTTTTGAATTGGTCCATATAAGTTTTATGTCATTGTTACCGTTATATTATGTTTAAAACAAGAATCATCATTATCATGATTTAAATTTTAAAAAAAGCGCACCCTACATGCTAAAACGGAATTGAGAAAGATAAATTATGTCATTTTTTCCTATCCTATTGCATGCCCGAAATTCGCCTGATATCGGTTTACCACAAGATTTATGGCTCAAACCATCAATATAAAAAGCATGATATGATCCTACTCACATTTAACATCAATCTGGATTCGTATCGGTACGGAATCGCCGGCTTTATTCCTGGCATGGCAGGTGTATAATCCAGAGTGCTGTCTGATGGCCGGACTGAATTGCAAAAGCTCTTGCAGACTCGTCGGTTGATTTTGGCCTTCTCGTCTCCATACAACCGAAGCTTTAGGATTCGCGCTCACGACGCATCTAATTGCTATAGAATCTTTCAGGTCTTCTATGTCAGTGGTTGGGATGCCAACCAAACGAGTTTCTGGAACAACTGAAAATAATTTTTATCCAACACTTGTTAGTTATAAGAGTCATTATTTGTGCCAATTTAGACAGGTAAACGATCAAATAATACACTAGTGTATTATAAGCCATAACCCACTAGTGGGTTTAGAACTCAATGTCTTATAACGTCAATGCAAAATGCCAGGAAATAAAAATTATAAATCCTGCTTTAAAGAAGACTCTAACCGAAAAAGTAACGGTTAGTTTTTTCAGTTCTTGTATGCTGATTGCTGCTTGTGTTATGGTTTCTCCAGTTGTTGGATAAAACATTGTATGCTACTCGTGTGTTATGTTTTCTAAGTCACTAGAGAAATTATACCACTCGGCCTGACGGCCTCGTGGTATAACTTATTCTCGCGTGACTTATTTTCAATATAACACACTAGTACCATAAGTAACTATTATACAAATTATCCCACGATGTTTTTCCCAGGGATTAACTTCGGAACGCGTCATCCAATATAATTGAAATTTTGAAGATGTGGATCACTTTTTGTGCCGCTTCTACCATTGTCATCCATTTTCACCACTTTCGCTTCAATTTCAGTCAAGTGATGTCAACTTTCGAATCTTAATTCATGGTATATTATGGCATTTTTCGTTGGAAAATTTAATTACAAAATCGGCAATGCCATATTTGTTAAGGCTTTGTTAAAGAAAATGATAATAAATTATACAGTGGAACATACGATAATGCGTTCCGAAGTTATCATTTGAGAAAAACCTCGTGGAACACCCTGATGTGATTTTTTGCAATTGTTACTCATGGGTTTAATATTAATTTAATTCGCTTGTAGTTCTTTTAATTTTTGATTTACAGCAATTTTTTCAAAGGCAAAGACAAACAAATCCAAAAAATACTGTTCACTTTTTTTCACATTTCTTTTATAATGCCATAACGCTCATCAACGAGGTCATGACACTTTCGACTATAATTTCATAAATTTCATATAACACTTTATTACAATTTTTATTGTGCTTTATCTTCATTTCTTACTTACCACAGAAGAATCGAATTTACTGACAACCAAATAGGATTTTCTCTTTTACAGGGGTGTTTTGAAATTAAAATACCTCAGAAACCTATACGAAATGTCAGAATAAGAAAATTATGAATATAGTTATTTTCCTAACAAGCTCAGCCTCAGCCCCAAAGCTTATCGAACTCTGCTTTGCGTCGTTTCTCTAACTGCTTTTTCGTGCGGGAAAGTATCAGTTTGCGCAAGTGTTAGGAACAATACTTTTTCTACGAGTGTTCGAAGATTTGCATAGCATTCAGAAAGAAGCTGTACCTACCTAATCTTCGCAAATGTTTCCAGATGCTTAAAACTAGTAATTTTCTCTCCTAGTTCAATGTGCTGTGTTTTCAATTTTTTTTTTTTCAGTGATCAGCTTGACTTTATTTTCAACATTGGTTGTGTTGTGTTACCGAGGTTTACTTAAAATTTGAACAAGTCGTTAAGTTTTTTTCCTGCCAAATCGAGACTTAATTTACCATTTTGAGCAGCTTACTCACAGGTTTTGTTTTTGTTCCTGTATCATGATAGGTTATTATGAGTTATTGGCAGCGTTCACCAGATACAAACATTGGTAAACGGTTTGGGATTGTTCTGCTGAACGCTACGTTGAATTTGTGTCAAAACCAAACATGTTTTGCAAACGGTCGCCATTTTTGCAAGCATAATTGCAGAGTGTTTATAATTTTTGACACTGTGTTTTGTGTGGTGACCTGTCATTCAGAAGGTAACGTTCTATCATTGAAAAGTTGAATCGTTCAGCAGAACCAAGAGTTTACCCAACATATTCTGTTGGTATTTGTAAACTGTTTAAAATCCGTTTTGGTTCTGGTGAACGTAGCCATTGTTCGTTTGTTTTTTTAGTACCTATAATATGCTTACTCGCACAGTATAAGCAGTTAGACCTAGATGTTTGTTTATTAGTTTTAATCAAATTTTGACCATGAACTATTTGTTCAAGTGTTTGGTTTTGTCTGTGCTTTTGCATTTGTATGTTTTGCTTTTTATTTTTTCAGCTTTGCCCACAAAATTGTAAAATTTTCTGACAATAAAGCAAATTCTTTCTTTCTTTCTTTCAGGATGATATTTTTTCATCTGACTTGTCAAATAAATTAGTTTCATGTAGCCACAAGTACAGCATCTTCCCAAAATATATTATCCAGTTTTGCTTGCATTATCATAGAACTTGCTTTGTCTATTGGTGTCTGATTATTCATTCTTTCCGCAGCACCATTAAGTTGGGGAGTATATGGAGGAGTATAACTTATAGTCCAACTAACTCAAAAAAAAAGTGGATATTTAATTTGCCTACGGGCGCCAACACAGGTTTTTATTCCGGTTCTTTTATGAATGACTGAATCAAAAATAAAAATAAAATCTTTGATGAACCCCGTGTTATTCATTAAATAAAGATTAAGAGTGAATTCAAATATCGATGAAACGAAACAGTGATGATTTCAAAAAAAAACAAAAAATCCTTTTTTCTGCGATTGACAAGAAATGTCAGCATTTTTGACCGGTTGACAGGTCGCAAAACTCAATATTCTGGTATTTCAATTATGTTTCAATAGTTGCTAAGGAATCAATGAATAACAATACGGGAAACACTTTTCCGGCCTAGACCGGGAAAGTGATTCTCGTATTGCTGAATAATTGGAACTAAAAGACAAACATTTAACAGGTATTTAACCGATCGCAGAAAAAACAGTATGTGTATTTCGGTGGAAAAGCACATTCCCGGCCTTCGGTGTTTGCCGGCCTCGGCTACGCCTCGCCCGTCAACTTACACCGTCGGCCGAGAATGTGTCACTTTTCCACCTAAATACACAATATACTATTTCCTACGAGCGTGCGGAAAAATTACTTTTCCGCACGATTTTTCGTTTTGAAAGTTGTACTTTTCCGCACGATTTTACTTTTCCGCACTATTTTTTTACTTTTCCGCGCGATTTTTACTTTCACTGAAAAGTGTACCCATATTAAAGTTCGGGAGCCCCGCGGTGGCCCCCTATTTGGGGGGCATAGTCCCGCGGGGGGCCCCATTTTTGAGGGGCACGGTCCCGCGGGGCCCCTTTTTGGGGGCGAAGCCCTGGGTGCTCCTTTTTGGGGGGCGAAGCCCCTTTATTTGGGGGCGGAGCCCCTTATTCGGGGGCACAGTCCCGCAGGGCCCCCTATTTTGGGTGGCATAGCCCCGCGAAGGTAGGGAATCCTAATAATTTTTTTGGCAATTTAGTTATAGGCCAAGGATCATGATAAAAAAATCCGGTTCCATTATTTTTTTGTGTATAAAAAAATCGTGCGGAAAAGTAAAATCGTGCGGAAAAGTAAAATCGTGCTGAAAAGTTACTTTTCCGCACGATTTTTTTATTGCTAAAAATGAAGATATTTAGGATCAAATAAATGATTTATGTTATATATTATTTTATACCGGGTGTCTACGAGATTAGTTTCGCGCTGGCATTTGCTGGTTTTTTTTTTCAATGGTAAAGATTTTTGGTATAGAGTATAGGTTTGAGAAATGTCATCTTTTGACACATGTGTCAATGTTTGGTAGTAGTAGTAGTAGTAGTAGTAGTAAACATGCTTTATTGTCAAAGATTACATTGATCCTTATTGACAAAGCTAAGTCTTAAATACATTGCAATAAAAAAATCCATTAAGTGGACACAAAAATCAAATATAAAGATTAAATATAAAAAAATACAAAACACACACACATCAGTCCAACATCCAACATTCAATCCAAAAATCCTATGTTATCTAAAAAATACAACTAGCTTAAATTAAATTAGAAAAACATGAATGAAGGTACTTACTTAACAAATCAGAAATACAGATAATGCATTAATTATAAAAATTGTTAGCAGTCAAATTTCATAGTCACAAATCTATATCTAATTATTATCACATTGGTCATAGTCATAAGGTTTAAAATTTTAAAGATAAAAACAATTAGATAAAATAAAAAACAAACAAAAACAATTAGATAAAATAAAAAACAAAACATTAAAAAATACCTATGTAAAAAAAAACACATTTAATAGTAACAAAAGAAAAGGAACCTGGTAATCTAGCAACATAGAACGGTTACCGATTGAGTTTGGCTTTGTAACTGAAGCAATAGGACCATCCTTGATTGGGGATTGGTTTAAGAAAGACAATTTAATAGTTTGAAGTAGCATATAAAATTAAATGAAATTCCCAAAAATAAAAGCAAAACATATCATGAAAATTCAAAATGAAAAGTCCAAATACTCCTCCGCGGAATAGAAGGCTTTCTTTGCAAAGATGTTTTTGAGTTCTTTACGGAATTTGGCTACATCGGGAATATTCATAATAGCTGTAGGAAGGTGATTATATAATTTTATGGCAGTATAAATAATAGAGTTTTTAACAAGCGTAGAATGTGGAATTGGAAGTGGTATAGCATGACTTTGACGTGTACTATGAGAGCTCTGATGTGCAGGAAAAAGAGATTTGTGTTTGTGAACAAGAGTGACCGATTCCAGCACAAAGAGAGACGGAAGAGTTGAAATATTGTAAGAAACAAATAAAGGTTTACAGTGGTCTCGCGGCGATGCACCAGCAATAAATCGAACTGCACGTTTTTGAATTCTGAAGACTGACTCGAAGAGGTACCGGGAGCAACAGCCCCAAAAAGGTAAACCGTAAGAAAGATGAGAGTGGACAACTGCATAGTAAACGGATTTGGCGATCGGGATGTTAAGGTTTCCAGCAACAATTCTAACGCAGAAACAGCCAGACACGAGCTTCTTATTAAGTGCTATAATATGAGATCGAAAATTGAGATCGGCATCTAACTGAAGGCCGAGAAACTTTGCTTTGCTTTGCGAAGATTTAACTGTAAACTGCTCACAATCAATGTGGTCGATATTACATCGAAAACCAATTTCTTGGGTTTTGGTGAAGTTGAGCAGAAGCCCATTTGCATCGCACCATGCCTTAATAGCACTGATGTCCCTTGAGATGATTGGGACCAGCTCCACAGTCGTCCTCCGATG